TGATTAGAATGAATAATCGATAATGCAAAATAGGAAGAAAAGGCCCAAAGGTTTAGGGGTGGTGGGAGGGTCAAGGGAAAGGAAAGAAGGGAAAGGAAAAATGCTGACTAATGGAAAAAATGGAAATAAAGTCTTTGTAAATAGGGAAGGGTGGAGGGGGTGAAGGGAGGGCTAAGAATGGGGAAAAAATAAGCACCAAGATGCGTTATGTAAAAGTACAATTCCCAGTGAGAGATGTAATTGTGTTGTATACCTAAAATGTACCAATAAGAGAATTGAATTAACAAAATACTTGCTTATATTTTTCTTTTATATTTGTGCCATGTCTTTCTAGTGTAATATTGTACCTTAATTCAGGCTCTTACTACCTATTGCATAAACCTCCTGGGTAGCCTTCCAAATGCTTCTTCCTCCTTTTCCTTTTTTTCTTCCTCTTCCCCCTCTCCCCTCCCCTTCCCCCTCCTCCTCCTTTTTTCTGTTTTAATCCTCTTCCACTTTGGAAAAAAATGACAAGTGGTAGCTGATATACAGAAAAGTGTTGCAGAGAAAAGCAGCATCACTGTAAGCATTCAACACAGTGCTGTATTTTAAGAATTTGGAAAAAAGTTAATTTGGGTGGTATTTAAAGTAGGAGGAAAGCAGTAAAAGCTTAGTTTTCAGCAGTATATGAGATCTTGAAGTACCCTATATTCTGTTAATATTATACTTACCTATGAATTTTCTTTTATAATAACGTGACACTTGTACTTTTTAGATATATCCTCACTTTAGTTACAGTGTAGCTAATGACTAATAGGCAGTAGTTTTAAAATAGTTGGAATAATGAAGTTACTAGGAAAATTAATGATTGCCTGGAGGGTATGAAAAGAAGTGAATGAAAAGGTAAAGTCAGTAGGACTTGTTGATTTGGTTAAAGTAGAGTGAGTTCATAATAGAATAAACTTATTTATTCTAGTAGCGTTTAAAAATAACACAAAATTGCTACACAGATGATTACATATAAAAATGCTAAACCTATATTATATTCCTTGGATAAACCCCAAGATTACAATTGCTTATATATTAGCCTATTGTAGTGGAACCTTGCTAAGTACACATTAATTCTAGTATTTTTCATAGATTCCTTAAAATATTCTATGTAAATAATCATGCATGTGCCAGTAGGGACTTTTACTTTGATGTGTGTATCAAAGGAGACACGTTAAGTTGACAGATGTTTCTCTAGTATGAAGTTCCTATAAGACTTAATGGAGATGGAGGGGAAGGGGGAAAAATTAAGAACCAAGAGAGATTATGTAAAGGTGCAAATTTCCAATGATGAATGTCATTATGTTGTATACCTAAAATGTACCAATAAAATAATACTTTTTTTAAAAAGACTTGGGCTGGGGATTTATCTCAGTGGTTCTGCTGCCTGCCTCGCAAGTGCAAAGTCCCCAGTTTGATCCCAAGTACCAGAAAAAAAAAATAAGGACTTAATGGAGAAATAGCTTCCTTTCTCCAGTAAATAGGAAATATTATCCTTGTCATCCTTTTTGAAGAAGCTACTCTGTTTCTGGTTCCCTGACTCAAAAATTTTTATTTATTTTTGTATCTTTCATTGTTTCATGGGCTGCTTCAAAAGCAACCTTACATAATGATCTTAAAATCCTGTATTTAGTTTCTTTAAAATTAAATAAGCATCCTATTTGAAAAAGCAAACATAAATACTTTTGTAGCAAGATGGCAATTGTGCACATGCTAACATTGACAACTTACAAAGTACTATGTATTTTAATTTTATTATTCAGCTTCAGCCTATTAACACTGTGAGTTGAATATTATCCTTGTTTTAGACATGAAGTAAATTGTCTGAGATCACAAAGCCATTAAATAATAGAGTAGTTTCAGAAGTATTTCATATTCAGCAGTGAGCAAGGAAGGAATTTGTTGAGACTAACGGGAATATTTGGGAGGAATTGTACTCATACAAAAGTAGCTGGTTGGGTCAGTCAAGTCCCTATCCATTGGCCCTGTGGAAAGCAGTTAGCAGTGTCTGCCACTAAGTGTGAATACTTGGATTAGTGAGGTCCGTCTGTGACCCCAGGAGACTGGGATCAACAAAACAGACATCAGTATTTGAGGAAAGTCAGCACTGAGAAAGCCATGCAACTCAGTAAAGCAAATATTTTGCATGGGAGGAAATAGAACAAATCTGTAAGGATGGAAAAATATTGTCAATCTTGAAATTAAGAATGAAATGAATTTTACATAAATGTTACAATTGAAAACCTAATGTAGATTTATTTTGTCTAATTATGATTATCTTTTAATTATGATTATCTTTTTATATACCATGTATGTCTCATTTATATTTCCTTTAACTGTAAACTGTCCTTATCCATTGCCTGTTTTTTAAGTGTTGGTCTTTTTCTTATTGATGTGCACAGTTTCTTTGTATGTTAATTTTCCCCCAAGTTTTCTTTCGTCTTAATGATGCATTTTTACTGTAAATGTCATCTTTAGTGTCCAATAGTGCTTGTTATAGCATTGCTCTGTCTTTGTGATTTAAGCAAATAACATCAGTCATATCTCACTGATATCATTGATGAGGTGTAAGTTAGTGGTGTCTGTTATACTTTATGCTGTGTTAACACATCTGTTTGTGTATAAATGTATTTGTTTTTCTTATGTCAGAATATTTTGAAGGGGAACTGAATGAGGAAGTCGGGTTTTGAATAGATTATTGATCTCAATTTTGATTTTTGACAGCCATTAAAGCAAATATAATTAATAACGTTCCCTAGAAAATATAAAAAAAATTAGATTAATAGACCGGTGAGAAGATAGATAAATGGAGGGATAGATAGGGTAAACAAATGTCTTGGGGCTGAAAACCAGCTATTTATTAGCAATGTACTACCTCCAAATGTTGAGTCATTTGGCAGGTCTATACAGTCTTTGAATAAATATTTTTATACATATTATATGCCAAGTCTCATACTAGGTGATATTCTTTTTGTTGATTGAAACAGATTTTAACCCTGACCTCATGGAGTTTATAATTTAGTGAAAGATACAGGCAATAAAAAGGAAAAAAACTAATGATATAATTGAGAAAGTCTTATGAAGGAGTTTAGTGTTCCTTGCTTGCTTATGGAAATAACTGAGTAACTGGGAGCTGCATACCTCCCTTTGGTAGAGTGGTCCATGAAGGCCTTTTGGAGGAGGTAGGATTTACAGTAATAAAGAGGAAGGTGTCAGCCATGAGAAAGCTAGAGAAGGATATTCTGTGAAAAGGAAGGTTGAAATTAAGAGGCCAAAGATGGCATCTTTGAGAAAGAGAAAGGAGCCCACCATGGCTGGACCTAGTAATTTGAGATGAGGAGGTAAAAAGAGACCATTTAAGCTGTTTGTTGTAAGGACTTTGGATCTTTGACAGAGTATCAAGAGGTGTTAAGCAAAGGAGCAACATAGTCAAGTTTATCACTCAGTTGAGGATAAAGAGAGAGATATAAGAAAGAAACAGCAATTAAGAGATGATAGCCAGTGCCTAGACTAGAAACAAGGATGATGGCAAAGTAGATAGAGAACTGGTAAATTCTAGGAATAGTTTGAAGGTAGAATCAACTGTATTTAATGTGTCACACATTACAGATAATGGGAAAATTCATGGACTATTTCCAATTGTTTGTTACTAAATTCTAATGGTGCCGGGGGGTATAGCTCAGTGGTGGAGGGCTTACCTAGCATGAGAGAGGGTTTAACTCCCATAACCACCACAAATAAATAAATAAAAATATTTATGTGCTTTTCATGGAAGCAATATGGGTGGTAGGAGTTAGGTTTATAAACAGTGATACATAACTTATATCTATGAAAAAAATTTATATCTATGTAGGTCTTTGAAAACACTACCAGATTGTTAGTATCTCATTTTGGGTTCTTTAATTTCTTTTAACTGAAACATGTTGGCGGTTGAAATATTTTCTGAATTCAGTATAATTTTCCAGAAATAAAGCTTCGCTGGCACTCAAATATTGAGACTGCTTTAAATCATTGTACACAAAAAGCAGTTGTTCCCTAAACTAAACATTATCTCTTATAAAATTAGTGAGTTTTAAATTTAAAATTTTTTATGAGGAGTAGGGTAAAAATTGTAAAATTTATTTTATGGAGTAAATTTTTAAGTTCTGTAGTTCTTGTTTTCTCTTACGTGAGTGTAAAACCCAACATTTTATTTTATGAAAGGTAAAGAGAAGTTTTAAAACTTGCTAGATAAAATAGTTAAATTTATAGATATCACTTCAGGTTTCTGTAGTTACCAAACATCTTTACTTTTGAAAAAGAGATTGTTGCTTATTATATAATTTTATGGGAAATTCAAATGAAAACCTTAAAGCTATCCAAATACATTCAATAATTTCTACCATAATTTTGTTAGTTGATATGAATAATATTATCTGTAATCTAATGATTATTTTCCCATCTAGATGTTTTCAGAAATGCAATTTTTTAGTATATGTGCTGGCGAAGCAAGCACCAGAAATGCAATTTTTAATGTTAATTTTTAAGTGGAACAGATTTGTAAGAACTGACATATTAGTTCCTCAAGGAAAAAAGAAATCAGTCTTCTTTACTTATTTTTCAGAGGTGGCTAGATCCAAATAAACCAATAAGGAAGCAGCTAAAGAGTGAGTATACATGTTTACTTGGTGTTTTAGAAGTATACGTTATAAAGATAAAGGATTAATATAATGTGATTAATTAGTACTACTTTTATTAATTCTAGGAGGATCTCCTTACAGTTTGAACTTTAGAGTCAAATTTTTTGTAAGTGACCCCAACAAGTTGCAAGAAGAGTATACAAGGTAGGTTTATGGAGCTTATATCTTTTGAAAATTCTGTCAGTACTCTAATATAAAATTTGGAAATTAACTAGACAAAAATAGATTATCATGTTGTAATTCTCAGCTTCTCAGCCAGCACACAGAATAATTTATGGATGTTTCCTCCCTTTTGGATGAGTAGGAGGGCTTTTAGCATTAGAACCTCAGGACCACCCCATCAAGCCACAGTAGCCTCCCAAGCTATACAAATATTAAATGAAGTGCTTCTGTAATTAAATGAAGTAATGAAATGACACTGAAATCATATCCAAGAGATAATGAATAGTATGATCATTTTCAATGTTTTTTCTCCATGTAAAAGCATATTCTGTATTTTTTTTTCATTGAGGAAACAGAATTTCTGAAATATGTAACCATTATATGCAGAAACAATGATCAATAGGTACCTTTTCCCACTATATGTTCTTAATTTTTGACTCCAAAGAAAATGCAATGGACTTTATGAAGGAATGCTAGCATACCCAGGACTTTTACAGGCCACCTTACTGCCCATTTGAGGTCTGAGCTCATGTATTAATTTTGTTATGACTTTTTGTTGACAATGTATACACAAAATGATCCAAATGAGCATTTTGGTACTGATCTTGAATTTTAGGTAAAATGGTCAGAGTTAGAAATAAGAAGTACTGAGAGTGTGATGACTGTCATTAAAATAACACAAATGATGGCCTTGTGCATTATTTGAAAGGCAGAATTAGTAATCACTTAAAAGACAGAATAAAGAATTAGTATATTATACCTTCTAAAATTGTCAGATATAAGAATATAGACAGTGACTGCATTCTGGTTTTGGGGGATCTAAATTAGTCTTGGAATTTGAATAGAACCTCAGGTTCCCAAGGTTCTAATCCCTAAAAACCCTCCTACTCATCCAAAAAATAGGAGAAAGCTAATTTAGATCTACACTGAAAACATAATCAGGGAGTAAAGTAGTCCTGCTGGGGGGGAGGGGCGTGAACTAGTTTTGAAATTACTCCATAACAGAAGTGTCAAACTTAAAAATTCACACCTACAGCTTCCTATAGACAAATTATTAAATTTTAATGTATTGGCTATTGTTTAGAATACCATGCTGAAGTGGAGAGGAAAATAAGCTAAATTAAGTATATTCAGCCTGAGATACTAATTATCAAGTTTCTGTATAGTCTTAATACTAAACCAAGTAAGAAAAATTAGATTGAAATTTATGAGAGTTCTTTTCTTTGTGTTTGTTGGGGGAGGCTGGATATTAATGGAAAAAGTCAGCCTTAAAGATTTGGGATAAGGCAGTCCTAACATTTGCAACTAGTAGTAGAATTCAAGCTAATTTACCTTAAGAAACAAAGTTTTATTGTGTAAATACCAGCATTTTTGCCTTTAATCACATATTATTGTTGTTAATTAAAAATAAGATCCTTTATTATAATAAGTAATACTTGGTATAGTGAAACTTCCTCAAATTTTACACGAACTCCAAGGTAAATACTCTGAATTAAATTACTCTGAATTAATGAAAATTCTGAATTATAAAGCAGTGTTAAGTGCACTTTATTATTTTCAGGTACATATAACTTTAAATCAAATAGAATGTTCCATAGTATATTTTTATATAATCAGACTTTTAAGTGTATAAAATATTTGTGTAAAATAATTTAAAATTGGATTTCTAACATGTTTAATGTTTATGATAACTTTGTTTATGTAAGTAGTTAACATATTGTCAGTTACAACCAGGTTCATAATTTACTTCTCTGTAAATACTTTACTTCACTGAATAATTTACTTCACTGAATTTCTGAATGGAACTTGAATAAGTTACTTCATAGCCTGTGCTGAAAACATAACCAAGGAATAAATTTGTTTCACTGATAAATCAAAATAACTTCTTGAAGTTAAAGAAAGTAAAACCAGGTTTGACAGTCATTGAAAATTGTACTCAATCCTTCAGTTAGAGTCAGTGATGGTGAACCTTTTAGAGCTTTCAATGAGAACAAACAGCCTGATGCAACACATGTGCCACACGTTCACCACCACTGGTCTAGGTTGTCTTAGTTTTTACTAGAGTAATGTTTTATAGCTGGGGGTGGTGGCACATACCTGCAGTCTTAGTAACTCTATACGATGAGGCAGGAGAAACACTGATTCAAGGTCAGCCTGAATAATTTAGGGAGACTTTGTCTCAAAATTACTAAAAAAAATAGTGAGACTGGGAAGTAGCTCTGTGATAGAGTGCGTTCCTAGCATATGTGAGGCCCTAATTGCAATCCCTAGTACCACAGTACAAACAAAGCCACACTGATATAGAATCTTTTTTTGGTACTGGGGATCGAACTCAGGACCTTGTGCTTTTGAGGCAGGCACGGTGCCACCAAGCTAAATCCACCAGGCCCTCTGATACAGAGTCTTATAACTGATGCTATTTGGTAAAATGCATGGCTAGTTTTTAGTTACTGTGATGTACATCAGTGCTTCTAATTACAAATTAGAATCAAGAGAGCTTTAAACCATACTAATTGGCCATACCCTAAACATTATGAATTAATAGGTCTTAGAGATGATCTAAGCATACATGTGAATCAGCTCCTTAGGGAGCCAGGATTGAGAAATATTCCTTTAAAACTTGAGTGCTTTGGTAGCTTTAATATGAAGGTCATAATTAGTGACAAAGATATCCTTGGCCACAATTGCTAAATTTTCAGGACTAGTTTAGATTCTCCCCCAAGCCAGAAATCTGTGATAACTTTTTATGTTGATGCACCAGTTTGAATTAGTGGGAAAAAAAGAATGGAGTCAGAGAGCTCCATCAGGTTAAATGTTATGCAACAATGGCAAAGCTGGCATTGTTAAAATTGGATTTTTCCAGTTCCTAAGATACATACACTAGGGAAATGATACTAGTTCTTTTTACAAATATGGAAAGCAAGGTTCAGCCAATTTTTAACTAATTTGCCTCAGATTACAGACCGATAGCCTGGGACTTGAATTCTGATTTCTATTGCAGTAATACTGCTTGATTAAATGAATATGTAAGTAAAATTCAGCAAGTATAGGTATTATTTTGTAGGACTTAAAATGTCATGTCAAGGATTGTTTTAGTTACTTTTCTTGTCACTGAGACAATACCCAATACCTACAACTCAGGAGGAGACTTTTATTTTGGCTCACAGTTTGTAAGATTTTAGTCCATAGTGGGCTGCCTCCAAGGAAGGGCAAACATGGTGTGTGAGTGGCGTGGTAAAGAAGTGGCTCATGCATGGTGGCAGAAAGCAAAAAGAAAGAACAAGGGCAAAGGGAGATATACCCTTATAGGCCATGCCCCCAGTGACCCACCTCCTCCCTCCAGGCCTCACTCTCCAACATCACAGTCAGTTATAAACTGTCAGTTGGCGAGTATCATGCTCCCAAGGTCCAGTCACCTCCCAAAAGCCTCATTTAGGGTCACTTGAGGCTTTGAGGGGACATCTAGATATAAACCATAACAAGGTTACACATAACCTTTAAATCCTAACCATAGGATTGTTTCCACACCAGGGACCTGTTTTCCCTTCCCTTCCCTTTCTTGTGTTTGAGAGCGAGCCCAAGACCAGACTTTTGCACATGCTAAGCATGTGCTTTACCCTCAGCTACTTCCTAGTCCATCTTAAACTTTTGATTATGATACCAAGTAGACCTGACAAATATACAGTATTGAATTAAGTAGATAATATTTATAATATTATGCGTTAAGCCTCACAAGGAGTTTATATACTTCAAGCCAAGATTACCTGTGTGTGTAATGAATAGCTGATTCTCTAAAAAAATTATATTCTTTGGTAATTTGAATATTGTCACAGAGATAATGACAGGATTTTTAAATGAGCTTTGACTCTAGAGATATGTACTTTATTTTTAGTTGAATAAAACAAAGGTCTTTAAATTCCCTTTTTATACATTTAACAACAAAAAATGTCTTCTTTTGCCAACATCATACAGTAACCAGTGACTTTGCCCAGGTATTAATAAAGAATGGGTCTTACTCAGTACCAGAAACAAAAAGACAATGACATCTTTTAGCAACCTCAGAAGTCTTGTTAGAGTATACTTACATATCCTTTAACAAAAGTTGATTCCAAAAGAAATCTAATTTTCTGAAATTAGATGATTTCCTACTACCAGAGCAATAGTAGGAAAAGGAACTTAGGTTATTTTTCTGATCAGAGAGAGCCCTCTTAACTCAAATGAGAGTGGACAGCTGCTTTTCTACAACAGCCTAATGATAAAATGATCTAAACATAGGCCTGTCCTTGCAACTGGTTTCTTCTCTCAGCGAAAAGGATGATTCTCTTTGTTTTATGTGTTGATGTCAGCTTTCTTGTGTGTGTGATGCTTATCAGTTCCACTTTCTGTATACACCAATCCTCAGAATATTTCTCCTTAATCTTCTCCTTTGGTGATACAACTTTATAATCTTGAGAAGTTTTATAATAAAAGTAAGACATTTGAAGTACAAAATTTCCTGTATCAAAGACTTTTAAAGATAATGTGTTCATGAATTTATGAAGATTATTTTAAAAATATGTGCTAATGAATACATGTGCTAACATTACATATGTTAATATGTAGATTGTAAAAGCAAATATTTAAATATTTGTATTTTATTTGTTAAAGTAAGTGTACAGTTTTTTTGGAACTGAAATTATTATAATTTAGTAAATACTATCTTTTTTTTTTAAGGTACCAGTATTTTTTGCAAATAAAACAAGACATTCTTACTGGAAGGTGGGCTATTTTACATTTTTATAATAGACTTTAAAAAAAAAACTTAATTCTATATTAGTGAAGTAATTCATCATCATTGCAAGTTATCAAAGAATGATTATAGGTAGTATCAGTTTCTTTTATCAGATAAGTTTATTTCTTAAGGCACATACTTTACATGTAAATAGTATAACAAACTATAGCGCTTTTAAAATTACTGATGTTTAACCTTGGGTTATATATTTTTTTGTTTTGTTTTTAGATTGCCCTGTCCTTATAATACTGCTGCCCTTTTAGCTTCATTTGCTGTTCAGTGTAAGTATCAGCCCTCATTTAGGTCAAATAGCCCATGATTTTGTGTTCTGTGTTGATAGTATATTACCTTTAATGCAGAAGTTATTTCAACATGTTACTATGCAGAAAATGGAAACATCAGAGAAAATGAAATATCTACTTAGCAGTTACTCTGATTCTTGAAAAAATTTGCTCTAAAATTGTTTGTGTCATAGAAGAATGTTAAATGAATTATTATAACTTCCTTTAGTAGTTATATTAGAGACATAAATACTTTACTTCCAGAAATATAATGGATTAATGACTTTGCTGAAAGCTTATAATAATTTAAATATTTGCTAAGCCTGGTGATGTACATCTATAATCTCAACACTCTGAGGCAGAGTGAAGGGAGGCTGAGGCAGGAATATTCCAAGTTTGAGCTCAGCCTGGGCAACTTTGTGACTTAGTGAAGCCCTGTTTCAAAATAAAAAATCATAAACAGCTGGGGATATAGCCCAGTGGGAAAGCCCTGGGTTCAATACTCAGTACCACTAATAATAATAATAATAGAAAAATTTTGTTTATTAAAGTGTAAATATTTTCTTACTATTATTAGCTGAACTTGGAGACTACAATCAGTCAGAAAACTTGCCAGGCTACCTCTCAGATTATTCTTTCATTCCTAATCAACCTCAAGATTTTGAAAAAGAAATTGCAAAATTACATCAGCAGCATAAGTAAGAATTTGTTTTGTTTTTTTGCTTGTTTGGAGAAATGTTTTAAATTATTTTTACTTTAATTGTAACAAGTATAGAAAAGTTAATATTATATAAAATAGTATTATTATAAAGAAATATAGGTGATCTATACTGAAAATAGATAACATGGCTTATTTTATAAAATATGACTTGTTTTCCTTTCTGTTACAACCATAAAATTACATGTAAACAAATTTATTTGTTATTATGTAAAATTGTCAGCTAAGAGGAATTTTAGAGCATTAATATATTCAGAATACACAGGTCAATTTAACTGATAATTCTTTCTTGGGTTTTAGTTAGATGAGAGGTGTTTATTCTGTTTGTTAATAACCCAAGAGGAGAAAGGAACTTTTTTGTAATTTTTAATTATAATAAAACTGTTTCTTTAGTAAGGCAAGGTAATGAACACCTGTAATACGAGCTACTGAGGAAGCTGAAGCAGCAGAATCATAGATTTGTGATTAGCTTGAGCAGCTTAACAGCCTTCTGTGTCAACATGAAAGAAAAAGGGCTTGGACATAGCTCAGTGGTAGGGGACTTGCCTAGCATAGTTGAGACCCTGGGTTCAATCCGTAGTAACTAACACATACACACAGAATATCTGACAGGCTCAGTTCTGTACTTGTGAATCAGTACCTGTCCATCCCACCATGAAAAGCACTTCTCTGGAAATTATCTTAAGATATGCATGTTTTAGAAATTCTATGTGTGATTAAGTGCGGCTTTGGTATATGAAGCAGTTTTGAGAAGTAATGCTTTTAAGTGGTATCTAAAAATAAGTAGCTTTGTTACATTCATCAGACCAGTCAGACATTTTAAAAACTTGCTGTATTCTTGCATTTGTAGAAAATAAGAAAATATTCTGGAAAATGATAATTTCGGTTACTGAAAGTGTGACCTCCAAATAAGTTAAATTAGATGTTACTGTACTGAATTAAAAGGAGTAGTCTAACTTGGTGCATATTGTAGATTTAAATAAACTGCTTGTTTTCCTGATAAATACCCTTTTTCTGATTTGGCCATATTGCAGTGAATCTAATTTTAACTGAATTATGTCTTTACAGAGGCTTATCTCCTGCAGAAGCAGAATTTAATTACCTAAATACAGCACGTACCTTAGAACTCTATGGAGTTGAATTCCACTGTGCAAGGGTAAGTAGAAAAAGCTTACTTTGAAGTTGTTGAGTTAGGTTTCATTACTCTGTATCAGAAATGTCTTAAAAGGATTAGAGTAACAAATAGAATAACTTGTGATTGCTGCTGACATATTAAACTGAAAATTCCTCTAATACCTGATGAGAGGGTTGGTTAAAGTGAACTGTTCATACTTTTTCTTCCAGGTAGTGTTTTATGTTATAAAATAACTTTTGTAGACCATAGAAGACAGTACTTGTAGAATACTTATTTTTCAAAATAAAGATTAATAAGAAAAATGGTTTTTGTATACTTTTTTTTTTTTGTTACCGGGGATTGAACTTGGGTCCTTGTGCTTGTGCGGCAGGCGGCAAAACCACTGAGCTAAATCCCTGGCCCTGTTTTTGTGTACTTAAGTAACCATGATCATAAAAGATATTCTCATGTCACTAAAGCCTGTATTGCTACTCTTAATTTTTATCATTTAGTAGTATCGTATTTTTTATAAAGCACAAATAGAAAATATTAACATTTTTCATCTTCCCCCATCTCTTTATTAAAATTGAATCTATAAGCTAGGCGTAGTGGTGCACCTCTGTAATCCCAGCTCTTGGGAGGCTGAGGCAGGAGGATTGCCACGAGTTGGATGCCAGCCTGGGCTACATAGTGAGTTCAAAGCCTGAACAACATAGCAAGACCCTGTCTAAAAACAAAACAAAACCAACAACAAAAAAGCTTTTATAGTTATTGGCCTTTCCTGTGCAACACTTCTTTTTGTGTGTGTCAAACTTGTTTGCCTTTGAAAGACCCTTGTGCTCTAACTACATTTGTGAGTGACTGTCCTTCATTTGTGCCTGTGTTCTTCTTGTGACTTCTTTATCAAGAAGTTATACATGTTATGATATATGGTACGATGAGAAAATATGATGTTTATATTTTTAAAATTTCTTCCAATAAAATCCCACAGCTAATCCCCCCCAAAACACTCTCCTTTGCTTCAAATACACATCACATCTTTCCTTCCACTTTCTGAAGTACTATTAGAATACAGTGGACCCTTGACTTATGAATTCAATTTGTTCACTGGGGTTGGTAAGTCAAGTTAGTTGTAAGTGAAGACTATTTTTTGCTATAAGAAATAATGGAAATACCTGTAATGTGTCCTATCCTCCAAAGCACCCCTTCACTAACCTTTTCATAATAAGAAAGGGTTGTATAATGTACATAATTTACCAGAAACACCAATAATTTTTTTTTGGTACTGGGAATCGAACTTGGGACCCTGTGCTTGCGAGGCAGGCAGCGGAACCACTGAGCTAAATCCCTGGACCAACACCAATAATTTTCCTAGTGTATTCACCAAAATGTTATAAAATGTCCCTGGTTCATCAGAAACAGTAATTTCATACTTTACTCACCATTCAAGTTGACATCTTTGCCTTGAAAGGAGGATGAAATGGAAGGTGGTTATTACATGGAAATAGAGTCCCCTTCCATAAGAAGGAATCTGACTCTTTGGTGTCCTTTCTCTCCTTAAGAGACCCTGTAGCTCACTAGGACCTGCTTCTGGCTCATTAGCTCTCAGTCTTTTCAGAACTAAAAATTGTTTGAAGGTTGTCTGTTTCTGTCTTTTCTTTTAACACTGTTCTGTAGTATGACATCACATTGTCATTAAGCAAGGGAATACAATGATTGGCTTTTCTCTGTCTGGGCAGGACTTCTGTACAAATGTTTGTAGCTCTGTCCATTTTTTCAGGATTTCCTTTATTTTAGAAGAACTTGTTGCTCTGATTGTTGATACTCCCCCTCCTCATCAGAAAGCTCCTCAGCTGCCATTCTTTGTGGCTCAGCTAGAATTTGCTGAAGTTCCTCTGTAGGTAATTCCTTTGAGTGTTCCTCCACCAGTTTCTCAACATCACCACTGTCTACCTGCAAGCCTATGGACTCTGCTATAGTGATAATGTCATCATCCACAGGGTCAGTTGAAGGCTCAGGCTCCTCTACACAGCCTTCAAAGTCTACAGCATAATTTTAAGCCACACTTTCTTCCACACAGATCTCAGGGTCCTTAGAATGGCCCAGTATTTCTCAGTTAACCCCACACAGGAAAGACCAGCATTTGGGTTGTAACTCAAGACTTTGGTTGTAAGTAAAAATCAAAATTCTGGTTGTAACCCATGCTGTTCATATGTGAGGCCAGTCATAACTCAAGGGTACTTATTTCTGAAGTACATCTGGAAGCCTTCTTTTGTATCTTTAGTTGCACTGTTGTGGCTTCCTCCATGTCCTGAATTGATTTAAAATGTCTACCATTCATGGTCATTTTGACTTTGAGGAAGAGCCAGAAGTGTTATGGTGCCAGACCTGGTAATACAGTAAAGTGAAAGAGGACACACTGCAGTGTCTTTATGAGCCTGCCTTTCCCTTAGACAGCACTCAGTAGCAGCATTCACTGTATTTTTCATCACACCTTGTAAAGACACAAGAAAGATGACCTTCAGACCTGCTTTAGAAAGTGGCAAGAATGATGGAATAAATGTTTTCAAAGTGAGGGGAGATGAATGGCAATGTGTCTTACTGCAAAAAGTTTTAAAATTTAAACTTTCACCATACATTTTGATCACCCCTTGTATTCTCTATTTATTTATTGATTGATTGATTGATTGATTGTACTGGGGGTTGAACTCAGGACCTTATGCTTGCGAGGCAGGTGGCGGAACCAGTGAGCTAAATCCCCAGCCCTCCTTGTACTCTTTTAGAAGTACCTGGAGTACCGCTGTTCTCAGTAGAATTATAGAATATTATTGGTTTAATTAGTAATAGGATTTTTTTTCTCTTGGCACAGATTGTTGAGCCCAGTAAGGATATGGGGCTGAAAGGGACTTAAGAGCCTAGATTTTCCTTGGGTAAATATTTTGAACATATTTCAATGCACAGATCCATACAGATACACAGATATTTACGTTTCCAAAGTTGTCTTCCATGTAATAGTTTTTTTATCCATTAAGACCTCACCTGAGCATGTTCTGGAACAGGAGCTTTAGTTCTTAGCTTCACAAACTTCTGTCAGTCCTTCCTTTAAAAACTGGTTGACTTGCCTTCCTCTAATTATGCTTGTGATTTGCGAATCTTTCATATAATTCTGTTTAAAATGGTAAGAGTCTCTTGAACTTCTTGCCTTCTTTAAAATGTCCCTTCATTCTTAGCTGGGCGTGATGGTGCATGCCTGTAATCCCAGCACTTGGGAGGATGAGGCAGGAGGATTGGTATGAATTTGAGGCCAGCTTGGGATACATAGTCAGTTCAAGGCCAGCCTGGGATATATAGCGAGACCCTGCCTCAATGAATGAATGAAAGAAGGAATGAGGATTCACCTTTCATATTTGAACACGTATCTACAAAATGTAATGGAACAAAATACCTAGTACATGAAACTTAAAGGAGGAAAGATTTCATTTGCTTCACGATTTCTAAGGTTTGAGTCTGTAGTTGGGTAACTCCAAGGCAAACATCATAACAAAAGGCTATGTTCACTTCATGGTGACAAAGAAAGAAGAGCAGGGGGAAGAGCACCAGAGAGGAAGGGGCCAGGTACCAGATACAGTCCCCATGACTCATCTAGACACACCCACTAGTGTGCTCTATTAATCTCAAGACAGTCCAGTGCACAGTCATGATTAACCATCACAGGCAGCAACACCTAGCGCAGCCCAGGACCAGCAGGTAAAGATGGCTTTTTAGAAGTAGTATATTTACTTAAGCCAGAAAAATGAATAAGAGTTTGCCAAGAGAGTGATTTTTACTGTAGATTGTCAGCATGAATGAAGACCTCACATCAAAAGAGAACATACTTGAAAATATTAGAACATTTACTATGGTTAGATCATGTAAATATGGAATAAAGGATTATAAAAAAATGAAAATGAATGACAATTGTAGAATTACAAGAAAGCAAATAAAAGACGTGGGGAAAGAGCTGAGGGGTATGTTATTTTTAAGATCACATATAGTAGGTGGATTTTTTTGATGTTCAGTTCTGTGAACTTTAATACATGTATGAATTTCTGTAGGTAGAATATAGAGGAATTTTATCATATCAAAACAAAAGTCCATACTCATGTTGTGTCTTTGTGTTTGACAACCATGAGTCTATTCTCTATAGTTTTCTTTTCCCTAATGTCTTATAAATGAGTCTTATAGTATGTAACCTTTTGGTATGGCCTTCTTTCACATATTTCAGTGTATCTTATATGTGCAAATTATCGTGTTTCAATAATAGTTCATTTGTTTTTACTGCTGAGGATTGTTCCATGGTATGGATGTACTATGATTTGTGTATAATTTCACCTATTAGAGGACATCTTGGTTTATAATTTTTTCAGTGGATTTTTTGCTTTTTAATAAAGCAACTACAAACATTCAAGAACTTTTTTTGTGTGAATTTAAGTTTTAATTTCTCTAGGGTAATTCTCTCATGAGGGATTTGTCAGAGTATATTTAACTTTACAAGAAACTACATCCCTATTAGCAATGTTATCAGGCTCCAGTAGTTTCATATTCTTTTGAGCACATGTTATTCTAAGTTTTGTTTTGTTTCTTTTTAAGCTTTTCAAATAGGTATATTTTATCACATCATAGCATTCCCTACTGACTAATGATAGTGAAAATATCTTTTTAGATGAAATATCCCTTCTGTGTTTTATTCACTTTTAAATTTGGTTTTCTTTTTTAAGTTTTTATAGTATATATTTACAGTACATAATGACTACATTAATTGTGGGGAGTTGGTACAGTTACATAACATATCTTCTACTTTTCTTCCTCTCCTCCTTCCCTCTATCTCTTGGTCCCCTTCCTATTTGCAAATGATCAGCCCAGCATGGTGGTGCATGCCCATAATTTCTAGCAATCAGGAGGCTGAGGCAAGAGGATTGTCACAAGTTTTAGGTCAGCGTGGGGTAAATAGTGAGTTCAAGGCCAGTTTGAACTACATAACAAGAACCTGTCTCAATTTAAAAAAAACTATATCCCTGTTTCCTATTATCTGGCTTTGATTTAGCTCTTTAAATTATTTACTTGTTCCCATTCTGTAGGTTGTCTCTTCACTCTTTTCCTACTGTTGAATTTTGAGAGCTTTTTAATATATTTTTAGTGTAAGTTTTTGTGCGATATGTGATTTACAGCCTCCCCAGTCTTTAGTTTGCACTATTATTCTCTTAGCATTGTTTTTTTCATGGAGCAAAAAAAGTAATAGATTCTGATATTCTTCATTCAGTCACTAGTAGAACTGATAGAAAATTGGCTAGAAATAGATTTTAACAATATAGTTAGCAAGCTTGACTTAATTAATCTACATAGAATACTGTATCCAATAACTTTAGATGTACATTCTTTTCAAGCACACAGAATATTTCTGACCACAGTTCTGTTAAATTAAAAAACAATAATGAAAAGGTAACTTTAAATATTCTCCAAATACTTGAACATTAAGAAACATATTTTTAAATAAGCTGTGAGTAAAAACTTTTATTTAACCAGCATTCTTTACTTTCAAAATACTCACCTACAAAGAGTGACAATTGGTTATTGTTATTAGAAATAATAGATATCAAACTAATCCTAAAAATATAAAATGATTGAAGAAAATCATTAGCAAGGAACATTGTGAGAGCTAAATTTAATTTTTTTGTAAAGAATTTCTGATCTCTTAAAAAGAAAAGGCATTATCTTAGGAGTGAGTAATTGCTGCCATGATTGAAGTGTCTTGCTTGTTAAATGAATATTTTGGTGGCTCACTAAATACCTGTTATCCCTACTAGAAAGCCAGCCAGTCATTAACCATTTATTACACTAAGAGAATAGAATTAAAGAATGTAAGAGCTATGAAATATCTAAGCCATGGATCCTCAAATGTAATGTCTTTTATAAGAATGTTCATATAGTATTAACTACTTACCTAAGAAACTTTATTTTCATGTTATCTATAGGATTGTCTTTAGATGTTTAGTTAGGTATGGGATGATTCCAGTTAGCCCTAAAGCAATTCTAACAAGGTTTTACACTTAATGGTGAATATCTTATTTCCATAGGTATTTGTAATAATGATGCAAATAACCTGTAATAGATGAAAAATAAACTTTGCCCTTCAGAGTTTTGAGAAAAGGAAAGCTTGAGGTATTTTGACTACTTATTCATTCAGTGACTATTGAACTCCTACTGTGTTCCAAGTCCTGTTTATAGATACCATGGATGCAGCAGTGAGAAGAGTAGATACAAATGTTACCCTCATGAAGCTCTCACTTAATCATTTAATCTTAGTCCCAAAATTAAAGTTAAAACTCATCATGGTTTTATCATCTGAGATTATTTTGAGCTTATTCCCTAATAGTATAACTGGTTAAGTGTAAGCATAGTATTGCTATCAGAAATCAATTCAGAAATACTTATTTGAGAGCTAGGTTCTGTGAGGTAAAGTGAAATTATATAATTGTTCATGATGATCCACCAACTGATGCTTATCTTTGAGCTATCTGTTACTGGTTAAAAGATAAATACAGAAATTGAGTGTAAGCACTTAGAAACTTTTATAGCAGTCCACACAATGCATGTGATCGGTATGCTTCGTAAAAGAGCCAATACTTGGCAGATTCAAATTTTTTTAAAAAACATATAACTGTTCATTTACTAATATAATCTGGAAAAAACAGTTATAATACAAACCCAGTAATTATCATATAGCTGATAGTAATTAGGGGTTCCAGATAAGTGGTATAAGAGACAGACAAATGTGAGAGAAGCATATAGATGTGGGCTAATGGAATTTTCACAGAGGAGCAATGTGATCTAGACTTTGGTTCAGTTTGATTTGTGTAGGTGGAGAAATGTGAAGAAGGTAGGAAAGCCACATTAACAAAACATGGAATTATGGAGACACAAAATGTATTGTGAAACTAATATGGCATCACTAAACTAGAAGATTTTTTACTATGTAGAAGGAGGAAATAAAATGGGATGGAATGGTTGCTTAAAGGCCTTTGTTGCCATGCTTAACAGCTAAGATATTTTCATAAACAATTCATTCTGTGAATGAATTCAAGGGATTCTATGCCTAAGACCCCAACCGTTGACAAAACAAAGGCTTACTCTTTATTATTTAGGTTCTAGTAAAGAATAGAAAAAAAACATTAAACAAGTGAATATATGGTATAATATTAGGTAATAATAATTTCTATTTCTTATTGCACAAATAAAGTTTTAAATTAATATGGTCAAAGTTCATTTTTCTAACCATTGGAATTAATAACATTTGTTTCTGTGAAGGGCTTGATACATTTTCTTTGGTCCACCTTTGGCACAGTGCCTTACAAACTGCTTTTTCAGTCTAGGTATTGATGATTTACAAACTGAGTTCCTACAAATTATAAACACATTTATTTTTTATAAAAACAGCTCTTTCTAGTAATGTAGCATCTTGATTGATGTTTCTGTGTATTATGTTTAATGCTATTAGATCTCCTCGAATGTGTGATGATTCTCAGTTGTGTAGTTCCTTTTATATTTGCGATTCCTAGTTCACTTGGCTCTTCATGTGGTTCCTTCTGACTTCAGCTTCCCATTGGTAAATAGTGTAGGAGGGAAGGAGTATGTAGCTAGGAACAAGGTACCTATAACAGTTTGACTTTTTCAGTGTTTTGGATTCCCCATCTAATGTGGTGTATATCTGCATATCCCCCAAACCCTCATGCACTTAGAGGCAGGATTTATGAATGCTATCGGATAAGGGGCCAGCTGGCTTGGTTTAAGAGGTGGAATTTGGTTGAAGAGGCTTGTCAGTGGGAGTATGATCTGGAAGTGTTTATCTCCCTTCCTTCCACTTCCCTTTTCCTTTCTATTTCCTGCCTATCATGAGGTGTGCAATTTCCCTCTGCCCAGGCCTTTCTACCATGCCACTTCTGCCTGGAGCTGGCTAACTGTACAAGGACTGAAACTTACTAAACATGATCCAGAATAAACTTTTCTTCCTTTCAGTTGTGATTGTCAGGTGTTTTGTCCCAATGATGAGCAAAGTAACTAACACACCATCTTCCTCTTCTGGGAATCACTCTTAATTTGAATTCCCTGTCCCTGGTGTCCACAATTAGTATTTTAGACAGGCTACATGCACTTCTATGTCATCTAGTGAAGTCTAGTTGGGATGAAATGGTGGGATTGGCAGGAGCTAATTACATTAGATGTTCCCTACTTGATCATCCTGACAGTAACTTGAGGAGCCCCTTTATTTCTTTTAACCATTGTCTCTAGAGTTTTTTTTCTGTAAATGTGATCTTATCCTCTTTATAATTTTAAGGATTGTTCAAAATGTCTGATCTATTGATAAAATATTTCAAGTGTTAGAGATTGTTATGTATTTTCTCTTTTTGTGTGTCTTCTCTGATGTATCTGTTTGGGGCAAAAGGATTAATTAGAACATACATTTAGCCTTTTATCTTTTAGGCTCAGTCTACCATTTTGCTCCAAAATTCCAATTAATGTCCTTTAAAAAAGTAATTTAAGACTCTGATAATAGTACTGGTTATTGCCAAACAAAAAAGTGCAACCAAATTAATGTACATTTACATTTGACCACCTAACAGTTTAAGATTTTATTTGAATAAAAATTATTGAAAATATAGTTTCAAAGATTTATTCTGGGGACACAATTATAATATCTTGTTTATATATTCATTAATTAGTTCTGTCTTCTGAACAACTGAATGGTAGGAGGTAAAAGCATACTTTTTATATTATTATGTATTATATATATTACAGGATACAATTTTCAAAGTGAAAAATAAAAAACGGTTCCAAGATTGATTAGCATCTGTGAAAAATATTTTAATTGTACTCATTTTCTCAACAGTCCAGATTAGTTAATTCAAATTGGGCTAGAATAGTACGAATACTCTCACATTCATCAAGCCATATTTCGAAATGTCTTTTCTGGTATCTTCAAAATTCTCCAAAAATTGTTCTCTATTCAGTACCCCTAATGATGTTTCTGATGTACTATATTAGTTATAGATCTTCTCATTATATTATGAATATTGGCTTATCACAGGTTCTCCTTTACCAAAGAATCAGTCCCAACCTTAATTTATGAGAAGTCCTGAGATTATTTTTACTTTAGAGTAATGAATTTAAAGTTTATCCTTTACGTATTTTTATGAGATAGCAGTTATTATTTGGGTTTGTAATTGTAATGTGATTCTGTACAATCTTTGAAAAAGTCACATTATGCTAAATTAATTGTGTTATAAGAATATATCTCAACAGTTAAAGCCCATTGCTTTAGATTCTTCATGTATTTATTTATTTATTTTAAAGGATCAAAGTAACAATGAAATTACAATTGGAGTGATGTCAGGAGGAATTCTGATATATAACAACAGGGTACGAATGAATACCTTTCCATGGTAAGAACATCAACAGTATTTTTGCTTTTACAATTGTGTTATCAAATGTAATAATTCATATTAAAGAAAATGACCATTGAACTATTTAATTGTTATTTCTTTACTTGTATGGTGCAATTATATGATACCCTCCTTACTTGGTACTTCCTAGAAGATGCCAAAACAATTCGTTTCAAAGTGGCATATTAAAAATATTACTTACGAATTTTTCTTAGAGAATAATTTTTTAGAAAATCTATAAATGCATAGTAATATTAAAGTGCCTACTCTGTGTCTTCAGTCACATTAAGCACTGTACACTATTTTACTTAAATTCATTTATTGCAATGCTAGTTTATTAAATAAAATATAGGCATAGCTCCTATAACAAAGACACAAAATTAAAAAGTGATTTAAATTATTGCAAGCAAAGTGTGGTGGCTTCATGGGTTTACAACTGATGTTTCTTTTTATCTTATTACTCTTTTGTCTCTATCATATATTCTTGTCTTCATTGTCCAAGATGGGTCACCATCATCATTTCTGTATTCTGGAATGGAGAAAAGGGGAGGATAGCATCTTCCACTTTTTGAAAACTATAAAAATCACTTTGATCAAATCCCATGTATATCTAACATTTTGTGTGCATATGTTTGTGTTTGTGTGTGTGTGTATGTGTGATCAGAGACTTTTTAAAAAAATACAGTGATTTTCTGTAGGGGAAGAAAAAAGCAAAATTAATATATTTTATTAGTCTTTCTTTTATATACCGCCTAAATAATTTTTTATATACCTCCTAAATAATTTTTAATTAATGAGTCTTTGAAAGTAGTTACCTTCATAACACTTTAGTAGAAATGTGATAACAAAAGCAAATGTTTTTAAAAAACTACTTCAACTATGCTAAAAAAAAAATAATTTCCTAGATAAGTCCCCAAAATATGAATGATATAATCAACAATAGACAAAATAAATCCATAAAAATTAAATACTGGCAGGCAAAAATCTGTAAAATATATCTATTTATAGACTTAAGTGTAGAACATATAAAGAATTTTTTACAGCAGTAATAAAAAATGTAATTATAAAGAATAGGCAAGATATTTGAATAGACACTTCTACCAAAGAAGGTATATATTCATGATAAATAAGCACACGGAGAGATTCTCAGTTACCAGTGAAAGACAAATTAAAAATATAGTGAGCTGTTCTTTGACTATGTAGAAGAGCAGTAAAAAAGTTTGATAGTATCAAATGATAGAAGGAAGTGGAGCACCTAGAAATGTTATGTGTTACTGGTAGAAATGCAAACAAGTATACTAACTTTGGAAAATACTTTGTCAGTTTCTTTAAGTTAAAAATAAATTAGCCATATTACCCAGCAATTCTTTTCCTAGATATTTACTCAGGAAAACCTAAGTTCATATAAAGATTTGTACATAATATTCACAGCTACAGTATTTTTGATAACACAAAATGAAAATTCAAGGGCCAGGGATGTAGCTCAGTAGTCCTGAGTTCAATCCCTACTACTGGAAAAAAAGAAAGAAAGAAAATTCAAATGTCTATAAATTGATATGATAAATAAGCTATTATATATGTATATATATGTATATATAATGGAATTCTGCTTGGGATTAAAAAGAAGTGAACTTTATGATGACACAGTGTAATAACCATAGAGATGACTGCACCCTGAAAGCATTATGCTAGGTATAAGAAGCCAGACTCAAAAAACTGCATTACTCTTTATTTCTATTTATATGTAATTCTAGAACACACATATGATAGAGACAAAATATCCTTGATTGCCAGGGTCTGAAAATAGAAGGAGGCTATTAAATGAGTTGCAAAAGGGCACCAAGGAAACTTTTTGGGGTGATAGAACTATTATATGATTCGTGAGGGTAGTTACATAACTGAACACTTGTCAGAACTCATTGTTCACCCCAAATTATTAAATTTTATATATGAATTATATTTCTGTAAAGGTATAAAACCAAAGATCACTTAGTGTTTCATCTCACATCTTTTAAATGTTCCTATGTAATTGATGAAATTGTAGCATGTTCAGTGACTAATACAAAATAAGATGTAATTCCTACCAGTAAGTGCAGATATGACACACAGGAATTAATTTTTTTATTTTGCACTTTATATGAATGTCAAAATCAGAAATAAATTTTTTTCAGATAATATGGGTTAAATATCGTGTTTAAAATTTTCTAAATTCTCTGTTGTATATAAATTTGTTGTTTTATCATTCTAAAATAAAGATTCTAGAAGAGTTGTTGACAAATTCTTGTGGAAACAAGGGTATAATCTCTCTGTGGAATATTTTACTGGCTCCATGATATTTGAGACAGTTGTTATAGGATGAATAGAAATTTTCAAAAAAAGGAAGCATAGAAGGGCTCAGTGAATATAGAAAACTCATTTAATGTATGTAGGGCATTAAAGGTAGGAGTACTAACCATTTCCAGACCCCTAGTAGTAAGAATTAACATGGCAAGTGCATGAGATGATGGGGTATTTGGTTTGCTTTTTCCTTCCTTCAGCTGTTTTGAGGAGAGAAGCAAGAGAACAAGAGTTTAGTAAGATGTTCCTTGAGAGATAAATTGAATTCAGATTGTGAACAGTCTTACACATTTTACATGCTAACAAGTTGACATATTGTTTTATAGATAAATATTTGTTGTGCTAATTTAAAGTTGAGAAGTAGAATTCATATTTTCAAGTCTTCATCATTTAAGTTAGATTTTTTTAAAAAACAAATAATACCAAACTTGGAGGATTTTGTGGTGGTATACATCTGTAATTCCAGCACCAGTGACATCAAGGCAGGAGGATCGTGAATTCGAGACCAGCCTGAACTACATACTGAGTTTGAGGCCAGGCTGAGTTTAGCATGCCCTAAAAAGCCAAAAATAAATAAATTAATCAAACTAAATAAAAACAAAAGATGTATTTAAGGTATTGATTGGAAAATATTGTGTACTATGAATTGATTTTTTGAATTGAATTTTATTTTAAAAAATAAAATTAAGGGGCTGGGGATTTAGCTCAGTGGTTCAGGTGCACCTGCCTTGAAAGGGCAAGGTCCTGAGTTCGATCCCTGGTACCATAAATAAATAAATAAATAAATAGATAAATAAATAAATAAATGAATAAATAAAATTAAACAGTTGGGATTAAAAGTTGCTAAAGCTACTAAGTATATATCAGCATGAAATGTAAGGATTTCTTGTGATCTTAACCATTCAAAATAGTACACAGTACAACATTAGGAAAATGTTTGCCAAAAGGTAACAAAAAGTCATGAATTAAGATTCAATATCTTTTTGGGGGCCAGGGATCTGGAATTGAACTAAAGGCCTCATGCTTGCCAGGTAGGCACTGCACCGCTGAGCTACATCCCCAGCCCCCAATGTCTTTGAGAGTCATCACATTTATGTTTTATTTTTGTTCTTTTTTTTTCTTTTTTCTTTTGGTACCGAGGATTGAACTCGGGTCCTTCTGCTTTCGAGGCAGGCAGTGGAACCATTGAGCTAAATCCCAGCCCCTTATTTTGGTTCTTAAAGCATGAACTTACTTTGACAAAGGCAGTGTACTTCTTGTAAGTACCATAGATAAATAAGAGACCGCATCAGTCTTATCACCATATCTAAATTAGTATTCCTAAAATTGCTATTGCCTTTATATTTTACTAAAGTACTATATGTTTACTTTAGAAAACCATAAAAATCACTTTGGAACACTGATAATGGTTATGACCATCTTTTGTCATATATATTTCAGCTACTTTTATATTAATAATATAAATACCTTAAAATAAGGTATTGATGCTAAAGATTAAATGGAGAAATTACCAAGTTTCTGCATAAATGAAGTATACTTATTAAAAGTAGAAGCTTTAAAACTGAGAGGAAAAATATTCATTGACTTTAATGCATTTTATTTGTAGCTTAGAACCCTATAAGTTTCATATATTATTCACTTTTAAAAAAATGCAAATATAGAAGGAATAATGCCAGAGGAATTGGATAGGCCAGAGTTAGATAACTGGTAAGTATGAAGCAGAGCTTTAAACTCAGGTCTCTTCATTTTTCCCTGCTCTCTCAAAATTAGACCTACATGTAGAAAAAAGGAGGGTGCCACAAAGTGAATATATACTCTTATATCCATTTTCCATGCATAGTTACCCAAAAATTATCACGCTCGTATTCATATTTTTAAAAAATATTAGTGAAATTGGAAATGCTTGGATTCTATCAATTAAACTCCATCAACATTAATGCTAATCAAAAGACATCATTAAAACAATGGGAAGGAGAAGAGAATTCTGGTTCCCAGTCTGAAATGTAAAGAGCTTAAACTTCACACTACTGTCCTCACAGGAAAAAAAAAAAACCTAATAAAACCTTAAAATCAGCAGCTCTTAGGTTTCTTCAGAGAATTGAGAACACTAGGCAAACTGCTCCTTTGAGAACTGAAGAGACAAATGTATTCAGAAAATGACCAAGGTTAGAAACTGCTGTTAGGGCCTGGATCTCTTAAGAGTAGATTTTAAATGGATGACTTACATGGTTTGTCAATTATATCTCAATAAATCTGTTAAAATAAAGGTGAAATTAAAACTTTTTAAAAAGGAATACTTAAAGGATAGTTTAATTGAAGCATAATAAGTCTGGGCTAGACTGAGAGAGAAAAACAAATCTTCAGAGTGTTGTGGTCTTGGGGTGCTGAGGTCTCCTTCTAGAAGTGGTTTAGGTTCTTTCTGTCCTGAGCAAAAAATTTGTCAAGAGAAGCAAAAACAGTAGCAAGGTTTTACATTTATTAAAGGTTTTGAAAAGAAACAGGCTCTGTAGAGTGAATTTGGGCCAAAGAAAAGTAAGAAAATAAGTACATGCTACAGCATGATGTCAGCTGCCTATTTTGTATCACCCACTCTTCAGGCTGGTGTCAGGTTTAGGCCCTTCTATTGAAAACCTGCTCCAGTTGGAGAAGTCCATGTTCAGCGGTTCTGTGTCCTGGGATTTTATAATTAACAGGTCACGCCTACTTCCCCACCTACTTTTGCCATACCTTAGTCTCCTTCCTCATTATCATAGCAGGAATTTAAAGTAACTATAACTAGTAGGCAAAAATCTTTAATAGAAAATATGTGCAATATTCAAGAAGTGCTGGGTTAATGTAACCAGGGAGACAGGAGCCCTATGAAACAATTGAACGATAATGCTAGAAATTGAAAATGCTGCAGATGAAGGATTCCTTTATAGTCAATACATTGTATGCATCTGAGGAGGAATCAATGAGTTTGAAAATATATTAACAAATTTTCAAAACTGAAAAGGAAAGAGGGAAAAATAGTGGAAAAACAAAGAAGAATACTTAAGACCTGTAATGAGAATACCAGGAGGATAAAGAGAGAAATGAACAGAAGAAATGTTACTGAATTTTGGGTTGCTGGAGTCTCCTTCTAGAGGTGATTTCTAGGTTCTTTCTGTCCTGGGCAAAGAATTGTCAAGACAAATACAAAAGGTAACGAAGTTTTATATTTATTAAAGCTAGTAGAAATATGCTCTGCAGAGAGAGTTTGGGCCAAATAAAAGGAAAATAAGTACACTGTTCAGGACAAGAGCAGGCTGCTGTGAGAGAACATAGTAGCGAAGAACTCAATAGCAACTTTCCTTTTTGTATCATCTATACCTCAGACCAATGTCAGGTCTAGACCATTCTATCCAAAACTGCTCCAGTCCTCCTGGGAAGTCCATGTGTGAGGCTTAAGGAACTGTTCTCTGCATGTGTCCTGGGATCTTTTAATTAACAGCTACTTCCATCATCTACTTCCCTGCTCATTCTGCCATACCCTGATCTCCTACCTCAGAAATAGTGGTTGATAACTTTCCAAATTAATGACAACCACCAAACCATAGACCTAGGAAATCCAGAAAATAAAAGAAGGTTAAACATCCCAAAAGATCTTTAGCCAAATATACTATAATCAAGAACAAAGAAAATCTTGAAAGAAGCAAAACATCAATAGCATTCTTTTCACAGTGAAACAAGGATAAAGTTATATTGAACTTCTCTTCAGAAACTATACAAGCAAAAATAGGAACAAAGTGAAATATTTAAAAGTGTTGAAAGAAAATTTCTCCAACCTAGAACTCTGTAGTTATCTTTAAAATTGAAAAGAAATACTCTCAGACCAACAAGAATGAAGGAATTTGTTGCTAGTAAACCTGCCTTGTGAGAAATGTTGAAAGAAGTTTCTAGCTGGGTATAGTAGCACATGTCTGTTGTCCCCGCTACTTGGAAGGATGAGGCAGGAGAATCTTCAAGGACAGCCTGGGCAACTTAACAAGACCCTGAATCAAAATTTAAAGAATTTTATAAATGTATTTAGAATGTATTTCAGTGGAGCTTACGTAGCATGTGTAGGGCCTAGATTCAATCCCTGGCACTGCAGATGGATGGATGGATGGATGGATGGATGGATGGATAGACAGACAGACAGAATTTCCAACAAAAGGAACTTTCATATTGAAAAAGGTAGATTATCAAAATGAATTTTAAACAACTTTATTAATGTCATTTACATACTGTATAAATTCACCTATTAAAATATACAGTTTAGTAGTTTATAGTATTTTTCAGGGTGTGGCGTCACTATAATATAATTTTGAATTATGCATAAAAATTTTTCATTGTGCAAAAAAGATAGCTTTTAACCATTAGGAGTCATTCTCCATCACTTCCTCTGCCTCACATTCATCTATAGCCCTAGGCAATCTCTATTTTCTTCTTCTGTAGATGAAATTATATCCTCTTGTTTTTTATGATTCACTTCCTTTAACAATGTTTTTTGTGGTCTATCCATATTATAGCATGTATGAATACAACTTCATTTCTGCTGCTCAGTAATCTGTTCTGTGGTCATACCTATTTTGTTCATCAGTTCATTAGTTGGTATACACTTTGGTAGAATAGGTTTTCATTTCTTTGCGAGTTGAGATGCTGAGCTTACATAGCATAACTGCATCAGTTCACATTCCCACCAGCAGTGTACGTGTGTTCAATTTCACCATATTCTCCTCAACACTTAACTGTTGTCTCTCTTTTTTATTATACCCGTTCTGGTGAATGTAAATTAATACACATCTTTGTTGTTTTTATTTGCATTTCCTTAATGGCTAATGATGTTGAACATGTTGTCATGTGCATATTTTTCTTTCATCTGTCTTCTTTGAAATATTCCAACTATTTTAAAAATCAGTCTGCATATGTCTTGTAAGAGACATATCTAAAGCATAGACAGATGGTTGAAAGTAAATCCACTGGAAAAAATAAACCTGGCATATAGAAACCAAAAAAATAACTATTATAGTTGTACAACATAAATATTTCAAAATTTTTATTCACTGATGTTTTTCTGAAAAATATTATAGCTGTATGTACTAAATAAAATACAGAATAAATTTAGAAGATGATAGAAGTTGTACAAAATATGCCAAAGAGCATCCAGTTTAGTGATTTTTGTTCAGTTTAATATTTGTGAAATTAAGACGATTTGACACTGGTTTAGATTTTCTCTTGATCATTTAGAAATAGTTTTTTATTTTTATTTATTGCTTAAATGATGGCTCTTAATGGAAATTAATTTATAGCTCCTAAAATATATGTGGCTCTTGTAGATGTTTTGTTTGTTTATGGGTTTGTTTGTATTTTTTTTATTTGTTGGTTTGGTTTGGTTTGGCTTTTGAGACAGGGTTTCACTGTGTAATTAATTTAGGGTGGCCTTGAACTCACTATGTAGCCCAAGCTGGCCTCAAACTTGCAGCAACACTCCTACTTTAGCCTCCCTATTGCTGGGATTACAGATATGCGCCACCATACCCAGCTGCTTCTGTAGATTTTTTAAATTGAAGTACCTGGCTCGCTTTCTTTTCGTAACTATAGCCTGTTTTACCCAGTCTTTTGTTCACTTTCTGGAAATAATGCCCATTGTCATATGACAGAAGAATTTCCTCATGTTGTTTTGTCCTTAATCAGTGAACGCAGTGGATGCAAAAGTAAAATAAAAATTTTGAAACCTGTAAACTAAGAATATCTCATGTTCACCACTCTACACAGACGTGCTTGAAGATGACTCATGCATTTGCCTCAAGTGATTGAGGTGTGAGAAGTTTCTTCTTTGGGAATGCTGAGAGCTTCTTGGATAGATATATCTATGAGTCATGTGGATCAAAACTTAAAATCACCATGGAAATATTTATTAGTAGATTGAGACAGGACCCAAAGCATGTTTTGTTAAGTAAGATTGAATCCCTTGGTCCCACGGTGATTAGAGCTTTAGATCAAAAAAAGATCTGAGTATCAATTAGGATATGGTTATAAGGAGACAAATCAATTTGATTCATATTGATTATACTAATCTTTGAGAACTCATAACATTATGTGAGTTGCAGACAAGAAGAGAGGCAGTGCAGTAAGATGAAATCAGTCAGTATGGAGATTTCTCAAAAGACCTAAAATTAGATATTCCACGTTACCCAGCTATTCCCTTCTAGGTATCTTCCTAAAAGAGCTAAAGACATCATACTGCAGCAGTACATGCATACCGATGTTTGTAGCAGTACAGTTCATAACAGCTGAATCCTGTAAACAACTTGTATACCCATAAAGAATGGATACAGAAAATGTGATATCTTTACATAAAATACTACTTGGCTGTAAAGAAGGTTAAGTTTAAGACATCTGTAGGAAAATGGATACACCTAGAAAATAAAATGTTGAGTGAAATAAATCAGACACAAGCTTAAATACTATATGGTATCTCTCAATGGAGTAAGGCAAAAAGGACAAACAAAGATCAAAATAAAGAAGGGTAGAAGGAAACAGGGTGATAGATGTGTTGCAAATGGGAAGGGATCCAGGAGACCAAGGACAAGGGGAGACTGGGGAAGTAGGAAGATTTAAGATATGCCACATACAGAGACCTAATAACCTCAATGAATGTAAACATTATATGTCATAAACATGAGCTAAGAATAATAATAACAGGAATGAAAAGGGGACTTAGAAAAGGAGGGAGGGAAGTGAGTAGTAAGGGAAAGGGGATTTAAAAAAGAAGCTGTGTTTCATACAGGTACCTACTCCCCAAGATGAATATAAACACCATGTACTACAAACATGTACTAATAAAATTAAAATTAAAACTAAAAAAAGGAAGGTGAAATAAAAAGTAAGTATGGTTTTAGAAGTCAGAATTTTTAGTCACTATATAAAACTGAAATTTTACATTTTTCAATAAATATTGCTTATAATTTTAAAGACTAAACAACTATTAATGATATTTCTTGAAATTTTAATTTGTGGTATGTTTTTCTATAGATATGAAATTGGGAAATACATAGGTCGTAATAGGTAATCTGATAAAATTTTCCTCAGTTGAGAACATAGATTTTAATCAGTTTTCCATAAAGCACCAAAACCTTTTTAATTATTGACGTAATGTGTGTATGTATATATAATAACATTTATATATTACTAAGGTATCTAAAAGATCATTTCTATAATTATTTTCTTAGTTTGTTAATACCATTATTCAATATTTTAAATACTCCAATTTATTCTCCAGGTTGAAGATTGTAAAAATTTCTTTTAAGTGCAAACAGTTTTTTATTCAACTTAGAAAAGAATTGGTGAGTACTGATATAATGATTATTCATAAAATTGAAATCTTTTAAGAAATGCCCAATCATTCATGAGAGAACATTACTACCACTACAAATGAAAGTGCAGTTAATACCATTGGTAACTGATTACTGAGATCATTAATGACCAGGTGTATTTGTTTCTCTAGTGTATCTGTGATTTTAATTTAAAATTCTTGGTCATTCTTTCTGCTCTCTTGGACTTAGAAACTGATTTCTCACAAGTGATGTTCATTGTGAAATCCAGGAGCCAAAAATAAGGGCAATAACTGAACACTTTATATATTCTTTTTCTTTTTCCTAGTAAATCTTCAGCACTTCCTTTCATATATAAGCTTATTTCCTTTTAGGAGAGCTGAATGTTTAGTTTCTAGTTCATTAACTTATATTTCCTCCTTCTGGTGAATTCTGGTAATAGCCTTTTAATATATTAACTACAATGAATTGAATCGTTATGGAAATAAAATACTAGAAACAATTTCATCTTATAAATGATTTTATCTATTTCATTGAATTAAATTAATCTTATACTTTGATTTATTATTTCTTATAAATTAGAGAAATCTTGGCGAAAATGTCAAGATGGCTATGTGTGTAAAATGCTCCTAAAACCTTAAAAAATTTTTTGAATCAGGTGTATTTTATTGGTAGATATTGACCTACTGTGGGATTGTTTTATCATTTATATTCACAAGATACAAAGGCTTTTAAAATAGCATTTTATTGAAATAAAATGTAATACAAGAAAGTACACGAATTTTAAGTATACAGTTTGACAAAGTGAACATACCAATATCAGCACCTTCCAGATTAATATTTAAGACGTGACCAGCACTCCACAAGCTAGTAACATTGCTATGGAACTGATACTCACTTTCAGACATTAATCCTACCAGAAGATAGATAAACTTATTCTCATTTGTGCTACTGTGGGTTAGTTTGCATATTTTTGAACTCTAAAACATGAAATAGAGTATACTCTGTTTTGTATTTGCTTTCTTTTAACATTGTTTGTGAGATTGATTCATATTGTTACACATAGCCTTAGTTTGTGGCATTAATATGCAGTATTCCATTGAAGTAATATGCCATAATTTATTCATTCTGCTGTAGATGATTTTGCCATTTCCAGGTTGAGAATATTATGACTATTGTACATGTTCGAATAAAAATTATTAAAGTAATATAGTATAATAAATCTTGTTATTTGTAAATTAAAGGGCAAGAATTTTAAGTAAATATAGACAGTACTATAGAAATCAACTTTTCTAATTTGCCTTCCATCATAGTATCAGTGTTATCAGTAATAATAAAAGTTATAATATCCGACATTTATTGAGAACTCACTACATACCTGGTAATGTACTAACCTTTTTGTTTAACCCTTACACTTGGTCTCTGAGTTTAGGGTTTCAACTAGGCATGTGTTTACCTATAAGTAACAACAGCAACAAAAGCCAACTAGTATTAAAAACAGTGTACAGCTATATTCTACAGAAGGGCAACTTTTTTTCTCCAAAACATCTCTGTTGTCAAATATCCAAACTTCATAGGATGTTGTTATCTCTCCATACAACATTTTGTGTCCATTGTTTAAAAACATTGCAGGAAATATATTGTTACATTTCAAATACAATTAGTATTTTGCATGTTAATATACAGCATGTAAACTGTGTATGTTTCTGCATGCAAAACAACTCTTTTTTTTTTTGGTACCGGGGATCGAACTCTGGACCTTACACTTGCGAGGCAGGCACCAGAACCACTAAGCTAAATCCCGGGCCCCAAAACAACTCTTAATCTTAATTAAAAATTAAGATTCTGGTGATGTAGAAGTGATTTTTTTTTTTTTTTTTGGTATTAGGGATTCAACCAAGGGCCTTATACATGCTAGACAAGTACTCTACCATCTGAGCTCAAGAAGTAATGTTTTAAGCATGCCTTTTAACATTATAGTATATTATGCATACCATGGGCATTTTAGCATGGTTTAATCATGGAAAATATCTTTTGATGGACAGATACTTCTTAAGACAGTGAAGCAAACTTTCTTAACCTAAAAAATTTAGACTGTGTTACAATTGGTAACTCTTCATCAAAAGCCATCATTAAATGATAGTACAGAATATGTATGTATCACACACAAACACACATTCCTTGGTTGTATGTGCATTCCAATAGAAAAATATGGCAGTGACTTGAGAGACACTTCACAAATGAGAATAACCACATAGCTATTATTTTGAAAAGGTGCTGAGCCTCATTAGTCATCAAGAAGAGATACGCATTATATCCAAAATATGCTACCTGTACATACCTATTGAGACAGTAAAATGAAAAAGAATTAAAAAACAGTGATTGGCCGGGGATTTAGCTCAGTGGTTTTGCCGCCTCCTATGCAAGAGCAAGGACCCAAGTTTGATCCCTGGTACCCTCCCCCAAAAAAACCCAGTGATTGTAAGTGTGTGGCACATACACCGTGGAAGTGTACATTGACCTAACCATTTTGAAAAACTGAAGCTGACATATGTATATCTTACGATCCTATAATAGAAATGTGCTCATATGTAGGAATATATATACAGAACAGAATTATTAGAATATCCCCAAACCGTAAGCATCAAATGTCTATCAACAGTAAAGTGGGTAGGCTGTGGTATGATTATTACCATATAATACAATGAAGATGTAAATGAATGAATTACTGCTTCACAGCTCTGTAGATGTGCTGTATATCAGAAACATAATGAACAGAAACGTTAGACCTAAAGATACAAAATGTGTAATTCCATGTATATAAAATTCAAAAACAAGCATATATTTATGGTGATAAAAGCTGGAAGGTAATCTGGTAGGAGGAGACAAAGGAGGTGCTAGTATATCCATTTCTTAATCTTGTTGAAAGTTAAATGGTTGTATTTGTTGTGTGAAAATCAGATCTGTACACTTATGGGACAGGTACTTTGCTATACATGGTTTACTTTGGTGAAATTATGTAGTAATCTAGACCAGACTTAAAGAAATTCTAATCTAGTGCTATTTTAAATTTTAAATTTTATAATACTGTTCAGAGGTACTGAACATTCTTATTTACAATCTGGGCAGAATTATAAAATTAGAGATATTTCTAAAACTGATAATATACCTTAAATTTTAATTTATGGGCCATAATTATATTTTGAAACAGAATCCTAGCTAGCAAGCTTTGGAAATAGATAATGCATCAAAATTTTAAACTTCTTTCTAACTATGATATAGGGTAAAAATTCCTGAAAGTTGTAAAATTACTCAATGAGATTCATGGTTTGCAAATTTCTTCATACATTTTACTTTTTATTGAGTAAAGAAAAGAGATTCTACAGGGATTGTTAACATTTACAAGCCTGGAATATTTTCTTTGTCAAAAGTAAATTAAATGGAGCATTAGAGCTAACATTTTCCTGGTATTTTCTGCATTTGTCATTTATTACAGCATGAATCTAGAGAAACATTGTTGGGATTTAATATGGTGAATTACAGAGCATGTAAAAACTTGTGGAAAGCATGTGTAGAACATCACACATTCTTCCGTTTGGACAGACCACTTCCACCTCAAAAGAATTTTTTTGCACATTATTTTACATTAGGTTCAAAATTCCGGTACTGGTAAGTATTATGTTTATATTAAGGTTTTATTGTTGGATTTCTTTCTCCCTTTAAAATAAAGGTCAAAGATTCATTGTTACTCACTTATACCTACAGAGTCAAAATCTCCATGGATTGTAGCTTCTATATCTTACTAGTGAGAAATTCTATAGATTCTTGTGACATATGTCAGTCATAAGCATATTTCATTGATGATATTGCAGGTCATCGTATTCTAAAGTAAATCAAGCACATTTATTTACAATCCAGACAGATGTTGCCATTTCTTTCTTCCTTTTTTTGTGTGGTACTGGGAATCAAACTCAGGACCTTATGCTTGCAAGGCAGGTGGCGGCACCACTGAGCTAAATCCCTGGCCCCAGATGTTACAATTTCTATTGCTTCTTTATTAACTAATTATATGAAAACTGTCCTATGTTCAAGATATAATTATTTTATTATATTTGTAAAAACCAAGATTTCTTCTGCATGAATATAATTACTTTGTATTATTTTTTGAGTTGCCATATCCTTTATTGTAACAAATTCAAGACAACCAGTAAGTAAAATCAGATTTAGTTATTGAACAATAACCACTGGTTCCTTTTCCTAAAATTGTCTTATTAGAAAATAATTTTTATTTTGAAACTGATACAAAATGGGATACAGTTTGACATTTTAGTTGTATACAATGTGTAATGATCACCTCAGGATAATTTACATATCCATCACTTTAGACGTTATTATTTGTGTTGAGAATAGTCAAGACCCTCCTTTCTAGTTATTTTGAAATTTACAATTAAATGTTGTGAATCATAGTTATCATACTTCGCTGTACAGAACATTAGACAGTCTTCCTTCTGTTCAGCTGTACCCTTTGTTTTATTTATTCTTGATAACTTCTATTTTTTACTGAAGGCAACAGTTTTTGGGGAGTAACTAAATTTAAAGAAGCTCTGATTACTCTTACCTATAGAATTCTTAATAGGCCCATAAAAGCTAGCTTTAAAGTGAAACCTGTTAAGACTCATGTGGAAAAAGTGATATCTTCTAGTAAGACAAGTATTATTTATTTTTTGTTTCATTTGCATTGTAAGATTTTCCATCTTCTAAAGGTTAAATCCTTGACTATTATATGTTAGATCAATTCGTGTTATATATTCATGACAAAAGGGATTAGGTGTGTCTCAAAGGTATTTATATCATAAACTTCAAACATTTATAAATACCCAATTTGTAATCTCAATAAAAATAATGGCCTGAAGCTTAGTACAGGATATATCACTAAAAATATTTGCCCTTTCCCCCCCAAGAAAGTAATAAAAGGAGCATAAAAGTTCAGTAGCAACAATTAAACAGAATTACAAAATTTGAACAAGAAAGCACAGTAGATTAAGTGACTTGATACCAAGTTTTAACTCTTTCTTGCTTTTTTAAAAGCAATATTGAGAAAAGGTAATAGTATTTGGAAATTTAAAGTTAAGGAAAAGAATGTCAGATCAGTGATAAAAGTTAAGAAAAGCCTTACCTACCTGTAGTAAGTCTCAGCAAGAAGAGCAGAAGTCTCTAAAGCTCTAGTGAAATGAGAGAACAGTACAAACCTATGTGTATTCCTTAAATGAATTCAATTCCTAAGTGTCCACTGTGGTAATTACACATAAGTTTCTCTTATCTTCAGGTAAAATGCTTTCTTTTTTTTCTCTCCTTGCAGATGTGTAAGAAGTTCTGGTCACTTTTACTCAACATAATTATTTCAAGATTTATCTATCTATGTTGCTGTGTGTATTGATAGTTCACTCTTTTATTGCACAATAGTATTCCACACTGTGTGTGTGTGTAATTTATCCATTCACTTGATAAATATCAAGTGAGGGATTTTTTAGGGATCTATTACAAATAAAGCTATTATGAACAGAGTTCCAGCTCAGTGCTGAGGATGTAGCTCATCAATAGAGCACTTTCCTAACACACTCAAGGCTTTCAGCCCTGCCAGAAAGAGTTCCACCTCTTCACATCCTCATCAGTGTTTGCTGTTATCTTTTCATTATGTACCAGTGTCTTCTGAAAGGCACAGTTTTTGAATTTTGATCAAGTTCAATATACCTATTTGGTTTTTTATGAATCTTTTGTTGTTCTATGTAAGAAATCTTTGACTATTTCAAGGTCACAGATTTATTCCTATTTTCTTCTAAGAGTTTTATAGTTTCAGATCTTATATTTAAGTCGGTGATCCATTTGGATGTCTGTCTTGTATTTGGTGTGAATTTGGATTGAAGTTTATTTTTTTGGCCAATGGATATACATTGTATCTTTGAACCTTTGTTAAATATCACTTATTCATATTTGTGTGTTCCTCTCTCTGAACTTCATGTCTTAAAGTCCTGTAGTATTAGTTCTCTAATTGCTCTTCTTTTTAGAAGTTGTTTTAAGTATTCTGGGATTTCTGCATTTCCATATGAATTTTAGAATTAGTTTATTAATTCCTACAAAAAGCCCTATATGGTTCTAATTGTGATTGTTCTGAATATATACAAAAATTTTTAAAGGCAGATACCTTAAAAATACTGATCTTCCAATTAGGAAGCTCCTATGTATTTTTCTTTAAGTCTTTTTTTCTCAGTGTTTGCAGTTTGTGGTTTACAGGCCTTTCATTTCTTTGTCAAATTTAGCCTCAAGTGTTTCATTTTTCTATAAATGCTATTTTTAAAATTTTAACTTAAGATTGCTCATTGTCATTGATGGAAATGCAGTTGATAAATATTGGTCTTGGTTCCTAAAACCTTGCTACATTCACTTATTTTAGTTTTTTAATACCTTAAAACAGATTTTCTACCTAGAGTAGTGATGGTGAACCTTTTAGAGCTTTCAGTGATACAAAGAGCCCACCCCAGCATGCATGCCATAGTTTCCCTACCATTGACCTAAAGAATATAGTCATAGTTCATTTCTAATCTGATGCTCTTAATTTTTTTTTGTATTGATCCAGCTGAACCCCATCGCAGTGTTGATTAGTGTTGAACACAAGTGACGAGACCAGAAATTCTTGCTCCTTGTAGTATGGAAAGCATACAATCTTTCACTCTTTTTTTAAAAAATTAATTTTATTGACGCATTTTAGGTATACAATATAATGACATTCATCATTGGAGATTTGTACCTTTACGTAATGTATCTTGATTCTTATTTTTTCCCCATTCCTCTGCCCTCCCTTCAACCCCACCACCCCTCTATTTATGAAGACTTTGTTTCCATTTTTTCATTTTCTCATGTTAATCCATTCCATTCTTTCCTTTCCCCTACCTCTCCCGATTCCCATTCCCCTTTGAACCATTTCTTCCTGTTTCACATTATCTGTTATGCACTTTGATCCTTATTTATGCTTTCAGTTTCTCACACCAGAGAAACTATTCAGTTTTACACGTCTGTCCTATTTATTTCACTTAAGAATATCGCCTCAATGTCCATCCATTTAGCTATAAATGTCTCTAATTTCTCATTCTTCGTGGGTGAGTAGTACTCCGTTTTATTAACAAACACCACATGTTCTTTATCCAGTCTCCAGTTGATAGGCAGCTGGGCTGTTTCCAAGTTATAGCTATTACAAACTGTGCCGGTATAAACATGGGTGCATATATATTGCTGTGGTATGATTTTTTAAAATTCTTTTGGGAAGATGCCCAGCAGAGGAATACCTGTGTCAAATGAGACCTCTAGTCCTAATTTTTTTGAGTTATCTCCATACTGATTTCGTCAGTGGTTGCACCAGCATATGCTCCCACCAACAGTGGAGTAAGGTTCCGCTTTCCCCACAGCCTCACCAGCATTTGTTACTGGATATCATGATAGCAGTCATTCTTTCTGGGGTGAGGTGGAATCTCAGCGATGTTTTCATTTGCATCTCTCAAATGATCAGTGACGTTGAACATTTATTCATGTTTATTTTTTGTTTCTACTTATTTGAGAAATGTCTGTTCATTTCAGATGCCCATTTTTGGACTGGATCTTTAAATTTGGAAGGTCTGATTTTTTAAAGTTCTTTGTATATTTTATTTTTTTAGTACCGGGAATCGAACTCTGGTCCTTGTGCTTGCAGGGCAGGTGGCAGAACCACTGAGCTAAATCCCCGGCATCTTTCTATATTTTAGATAGGAGACCTTTGTCTGAGGAACAGCTGGTAAAAATTATTTCCCACATTGTGGGTTTTCTCTACACACTGCTGGTGGTTTCTCTTGCTGTGCAGAAGCTTTTCAGTAAGAAAAGATCGCACTTGTTGATTGTTTGTGCTAGTTCATGGGCAACTGAGGTTTTTTTCATAAAATCATTTCCTACACCAATGTCTTCAAGAGTTCTACCTAAACTCTCTTCCAGCCAGTTTAGTGTTTCTGTTTTAGTATTTTGATCCTTGATCCGTTTCAATTTTA